TAACGTCGACACCAGACGGAGGTGAGTGCTCACCTTCACGCTCCGGCCGCTTTATATTCTCGGGGAAACGACCCGAGGTGCTCTTTGGGCTCAGAGTCAGTCTGGACGCTGTGGAAGAGGGGAAACCTGCTTCACCTGCCGGGAATCGAATCCAGATTCATCAGCAATCTAATCTCTATACGGAATTTAAATAAATACTGTCACGTGTACGAGTGTAACTAGAAAAGGAGTCTGGATTGATAATGGGATTTATTGGACTCTTACAGATCGTAACTACATGTAACTAGTGCTATCGCCAAATACACACACTGTAGTTTACTGCAGTACGTACTAAGTCTTCTCAGTCTGCTGTGTCTTCACCGCTTGTCGCCTGACAATGCCTTTCAACGCCGTAGCTTCCTCAGCTTCCGTGCTCACGTCCTTACTGGCCGGCGACTGTCTCATAACTAACTAAATTTTAGACTTTTCCTGCTTAAAACACCTCGGCACGGACCGCACAGAAAACACTGTACTTCTGTTGCTGTTCTGCTGTTGATTAGCGTGAGCCGTGCTGAAGGTCAGTTCACTCTAGCTGTGACGTCATGGCGGCTGTCATTCCCGGATTCCATCCCCACTCCTAAATATTTCCACGTGATACCCTTGTCACGTGACCCCGTCCCACCTCCTAGGTCTCGGAACGAAGAGTGTTGTGATAACGACGAATGAAATGGCACAACCTGCTGACCAAACCTCTGTTAAGATATACAAGAAACCGCGCGATATGCTCTTGCATCGAAAGCGGAGATACGAGAAAGACAAGACGTGTCAGAGAAGACAACAGGAGCATGAGGACATAAAAAAATTACGGATGAGGGTGTAACTGATCACATACCCACCGACCCGATTCAAGTACAACGACATTTGTTACTTAGTACCAATTATATACCAAATGTAACTTATGCCCAGTCTTGCGCTAACTGTTCTAAAAATCGCATTGAGCAATATGCAGATAAGAAGCTACTAGAAGTTTCTTTAATAGTCGGGGTGGTATGTTGACGATTACTCATCCAACTGCCAGCCTAATTAAAGGAAACTTCCAGAATGCTCTCGATCAGAAAAACAATTAAAAGGAAGCTTCGAGAAGGATCTGGAAGGTTCTAGAGCGTTACGTCATGCAGCAAAACATCGAGAGAGTTCGGGAACATTCTCAAAGGGGAAGATTCCAGAACATTGCACTATCCTTTAGTATTTAATGGGGTTGATCCACAGATGGCGAAGAACACACACACCCACAAGTTATGGACAAGCAGTAGACTAGTAGCAGACTAAACAGTGGTAGTAGAGACTACAAGACACCAAGTAATGGAGAATTAACGCTCGTCAATTAGGCTGGGAGACTGTCCGTCGCTACCTAGTGCTGTGGCCATCCAAGTTTGTATACAAAGTGTGGTAAAGTATAGTAGTGGTTGTAGAACTGCTGTTGTAAAAGAAAAGTGTAGTGTGCTGAAAAAATTAAGTGCATCAACTACCAGTGCTTTGTGGTGGTCTGAAGACTTCTTCGCCGTGTATGTGATCCATTCTCGTCGAGCAAGGCCCGTTAAGCCCCGAGACAGACTCTCAAGGCTCAAATCTAGGACATCGTCCTTTCCATATTACAAATACTTCGACGTGGTTCCCAGACCACGTAACGGCGCCCTACTTCATCATCAACGAAAGTGCAAAAGGACTGCTAAAAGTGACGCTCAACACGAGGTAACGACAAAAGCTCTGCTAAAAGTGGCTTCCCTTAACGCGAAGCCCCCCCAAAAACACAGCTAAAAGTTGCGCCCATCGTGGGGCAAAAGTCTTCGCAAGACGAAAGGCGAGCGAAGAAGAGGACCACATCAGCAACTACACAACGAGGCTAAGAAGAAGCAGCGGTGAACAACCAACCGAGTAACAAACCCAGCATACCGATGGCAAGCCGAACTCGAAGAAACAGGACAGCGGAGCCCAGCCAGCAGGAAGACCTACCTGCATCCCAAGAAGGCGAGTACGATTGACCACAGGACCAACCAACAGAATCAGATAACTAATCACAAGCAAGTGAAACGAAACAAATGTCAGTACTGCAATTAGACGAGGCAACACACCCACAAATACGAATTAACCCCATAACAAGAGGCCAACCCGCAGGTAAGGAAACTAGTACAAATGAAATAAGTGAACTAAAAGTCATGATGGTCAACTTAATGACTACGCTACAAGAAACCTTACAGAAAGAATTCATAAAAACTAGCACCAAAGAAAGACGTGAACAAATAAGAAGAGTTTTGGATAAAGCAATAGAAAGTTTTGAAAAGCAAGCTACAAACAAACGACCAGGCAAAAGTAGCGGAACGAGAAAGGCACGTAGTGTAGGGACTGTTAATCCACTAGATGATGGAATAACACAATAAATGAAATTTAATTAGTGAGATTCGAAAAGCCAAGAAAGACTGATGTAGTTTTAAGACAGCAGGGGGAGCGCTTCGAACAGATGATAGTTGAAGATGATGATAATAATAATATGGCAAAATTTGATCCAAATAATGACTTTGAAGAAAGAATTTCGGAATATAATAATGAGAGTTATGTTCCATGCATTCCCTGCTCTGCCTGTGAGAACATTAGAGATAGTGACTATGAGCAAGCACAAACAGTGACAGAGAAAACTAAGTATATGTTGCTGTCTCGTCACCAAAATGCAGGCCAAAATCTTGACATAACGATAGAAAATAGTTTTGAAAATGTGGCACAGTTCGGATATTTGGGAACGACAATAACAATTCAAAACCTGATTGAGGAGGAAATTAAGAGGAGATTGAACTCGGGTAATACTTGCTATCATTCAGTCCAGACCCTTTTGTCTTCTCGTCTGCTGTCCAAAAACATAAAGAGTAGAATATAAAAAACTACAATTTTTGCCTATGGTACTGTATGGGTGTGAAATTTGGTCTCTGACATTAAGGGAGAAACAGACTGAGGGTGGGTCGCGCCATAGCTCAAGCGGTTAGTCGCTGGCTTCCCACCGCGGCGACCCGGGTTCGATCCCGTGTCTGGTCAAGTGGGATTTGTGGTGGACAAAGTGGCACTGGGGCAGGTTTTCTCCGAGTACTTCGATTTCCCCTGCCAATCTTCATTCCACCAGTTACTCCACAATCATCCTCACTTATCATCTGGGGCTGGTAGAATAGGCCAGAAGTGGCCGCAGTACAAGGCACTTAGTCCCACACCACTAGTAATAAGGGTGTTTGAGAACAGGGTGTTGAGGAGAATATTTGGACCGAAGAGGGATTATGTGAAAGGTTGAAGAAAACTGCATAATGAGGAGCTTCATAACTTGTACTCTTCTGCAGGGCATGTAGCACGAATGGGATAGGCGATGAATGCATATAGGATATTGGTGGGAAAGCCAGAAGGAAAGAGACCACTGGGAAGACCAAGGCGAAGGAGGGTGGACAATATTAAAATCGATGTTAGAAAGATAGGATGGGATGGTATGCATTGGATTGATCTGGCTCAGGATAGGGACCAGTGGAGGGCTCTTGTGAACACGGTAATGAACCTTCGGGTTCCATAAAATGCTGCACAATTGGCGTTTCTCAAGACGGGCTCAGCTTCATGAGTAAGTAACATAAGCGTAGCGATGTGACGAGAGATACAGAAATGACACAAATAAATGACATAATTCGCATCTTCGGATTGTCTACAAAACGAGAAGCTGCTCACGACGGGGCCAGTGCTGATGTCTCATGACTGTTTTACTGAAAATTGCATCTAGGCTGCGGACAATATGCTCCGTCTCTCTTCAGGCTAAAGACTAGCTTGTCTGACATGCAACCAGCCAAATGCTGACACTGAGAATGTGATAACGTGCTGCCTGGTTAGGGTTACGGCACACCTCAGGGGGCGATGATATTAGTGAGAGGCAGTGGTAGAGCGATGACATATTTGTATCTTCGCAGTTAGATAGCGTCGTACTGTTACGAGTTCGTGATAAACTGCTTCTAAAAAGCGCTATGATTGTGTTTGAGAGCGTGACAATATTAAGCAGCTCAAGTTTAAACAACTTTTATTAACATTTAGAGCAATAGTTCTGTGTGAGTTACTTCTCAAGTCTTTGGAGAACACATTACGTCTCCAGTACAAAGCCCAACCGGTTAACGCTGTTTAGGGAAGTAATCGCTGTTTACTGTAAGAATGGAACACACAAATACACTGTGGGCAGAATGCAGAGTTCAGTCCGTACCTCACAGGAAACACATTACGTCTCCGCTACAAAGCCCAACCGGTTAATGCTGTTTAGGGAAGTAATCGCTGTTTACTGTAAGAATGGAACACACAAATACACTGTGGGCAGAATGCAGAGTTCAGTCCGTACCTCACAGGAAACACATTACGTCTCCGCTACAAAGCCCAACCGGTTAATGCTGTTTAGGGAAATAATCGCTGTTTATTGTGAGAACCATACGGAACATACTGATGCACTGTGTGGGCCGAATGCGTGGACTTAGTGTGTTAAAGCAGGTGGTACCACTGTGGTTTAAAGAGTCAAACACAAGGAAAACACGAATCTGCTGGAATTCGCCGGTTCGTATCTGCATTCATCCCCACGCGTTACACCGTGTCGCGCTGGCAATTACCCTTGCGCCTTCCCTTCAGTCAGTTTTTACATTGATGTGTACGGGGTAGAGTGTGATTGTTGCAATGAGCGAGTACGCCGATGACGTCAGGCGTCGGGGCGGAGCGCGAAATGGCTGAGAAGCAGAAGAACTCAACGACGACGACGGCGACGGCGACGTCCTGACGGTGCGTGGTTGCCTATCGATCGAGGGAGGTCCAAGCAGGGGTTTTGCTGCTCGCCGAGCTGGCTACAGCGGGGAGCGGGGCGAGTGTAGGTGGGGGGGCAAGGAGATATAGTAGCGTTATAACGCCGGTTTCAGCAGTCCAAGATCTGTTGGTAATATGGATGGACGGAGTTTGCAATCCGTTGTGTGTGTATATGTTAGTGACGGGGTCAGGGCAGACCAACGTGGCGACTAGTGACTCCCCACGGCTGGTCACTGCAGGTAAATGAAAACCAGGTCATGCCTGCTTTTGTTTCGTTATTTATATTTGCTTCTTGTTTGTGTCTCCAGGGGGCGTAGCGCTTTGACAGCTCTCTTGAGTACTGGAAGTGTACGATAGTTCACGCTTTGTCCGTTTCAGTTTGAATGTGGCCCGTTTGAAGATTTTTTGTTTGATTTTGATGTTGTGAAAAGTTTCGACGGCTATGGCTTCGCATGGCTTTAATATCCACGTAATATTTAGTGTCATAATAACTGCCTCTAGATCGAACTGCGACCACTATAAGTGAAGTTAATATTTAAAGCAACGCGGTAAATATGTGCACCACCACCTTTAGCATTGAAAAATATGCAGTCTGCCACACTGTGTTTATGTGTTCCGTACGACTGTCACAGTAAACAGCGATTATTTCCCTAAACATCAACCGGCTGGTCGTTGTCAAGGAGACGTAATATGTTTCCTATGGGGTACGAACTGAATTTTTAAATTTTTAAACACAGTTGTAGCAGGAGCTACTAATGATAGGGCATGAACTGCTGTACTGAGTCTGGACTGAGAGAGGCCTTGTATATGTTGTACATACATACATTTCATAACTTGTAAAATGTAAATTGTACATACTGACAACATACTTATTAATGCTGACTGTGACTGGCAAAGGAGAGACGCGTCCTCTCAGAGAGAGCGCTCCACATCAACAAGCCTGGAACTGTCTGACAGTAATAAAGATCTGGTCTTAAGCCCCAGATGGGTGATTTTTTCCAAGAGAGACTGACTGACCGTCGGTCGTAGTGAGTCCTTTAATCAAAATTAGACAATATGTTTTTAAGCAATCACAGCATCTACAGCTATGGAATGTAGCACACACGTCGTTGAAGGCTGCCTCTACCTGCCGTTCTTTATTTAAGTTGCTTGTAACATATTTGTAGCACTTGCATAAAGTAAAGCCTTGAAGCCTCATAGGGTAGTGAGTCGTCGAGGCTCCCATATTTTCTCTAGACAATCAGCTCACAGATGGCGGTGAGGTTGTCATCTTTACACACCAGCCGGCAGTCCTTTACCTCCGGGAAGATTCCTGGCACTCGTTTCTGTTAGAGGCTGAGTCGACCCCAGGGTCATAGTTCGGCTGGAAGGATTAGGTAAATTGAAACAATCCATCCATCGAGACTCGAACCCTCGACCTTACGACTCGTAGCTTAGTGTGTCAACCAACTACGCTACCGCGTGCCTCTTTAAAATTGTCCCTATGTTTAAGTAATTAAGCACTAGGCCATTAAGGCGTAGGGGGAGTGGATGTATAGATCCACATTCTCTCGACCTCAGCACTAGTTAGTGAGTGATGAGCTTCAGGCCCCGGCCGCTTTATTCCCGGAGGAAGAGCCCCGGTACCCATTGGACAGGAGGTTAAGTGAACCCCAGAGCCGGTCTGGACGACGTGGAGAAGAGAAAATGATTGACCCTACCGGGACTCGAACTCCGACCCGTCGGTCGATATATATACGATTATATATATGTGTATATATTTTTTCCCCGGAAACGTAGAAAGAATGGCATCTTAGAAAAATCCGCACATTATGAAGACATTTACAAACAGATTGTTGTGGAAATTATCATCTTACACGGATAGCCCACAACTGCAGGGTTGGAAGCTGCCTAGAATCTGTTAGGAGCAACATTTCGAAGATAGGGCTTAACAAGTTTCGCCTGATAATGAAATTGTTTGAAGCGTGACAATGTGTTGCCATGGATACTACTCGCATTCTCTTACATTACACAGTGTTGCCAGTTTTACTATTAACACATTTGTTAAGCTGTTGTTGTTACTTGGTCACTAAGCTTAATGCAATAGGTTCGAAAAAATTAATAAATGAAAATTACCATCTTTGGGAATGTGACGCCGTGTAGTCTCCTAGTTCGTTACCGAGGTTTCTGAGGCAACTGGGCTAAGACCGTCTCCTTACACAACCTATCCAACTTAGGATTCGCTATTCCTGTTTGAAGCGCTCACAGTGTAAATAACTCAGAATTAAAAAAAAGTAAGTACATAAGAAAATAAACAGAATAGCAAGTAAATAAATTAACATATAAATACACAAATAGATGAATATATAGATGAAAAACAATTCACTTGACTATGTAATTGATTGCACAATTAAGGAGATGAGCAGATACATAAACGAACGCATAAATACACAAATGAATGTATAAGTTCCTATATAAGAAAATAAATCACCAAATATATTTTCAAGAAAATAAATTAATACATAAATATAGGAAAAGGTAAAGTTGTAATTAAGCACTACGTCATTAAGTCGTATTGGGGAGTGGATGTATAGATCCACATTTTCTTGACCACAGCATTATTTGTAGGTGTGTGGTCAGCTTAAAGCCCCGGCCGTTTTACCCCCAGGGGAAAAGCCCACAGTACCCATTGGATAGGAAGCAGGGTGGGCCCCAGAGCCGGTATTGACAACGTGGAGAAGAGAAAAATTCTTGACCTTACCGGGACTCGAACTCCAGCTCGTCGCTATACCGACTGAGGTATCCCGGCTCCCTACATAAATATAGATAAGTATATAAATTACTAAACAAGTTCAATGATCACTTGGAAGGGACACGAACGGAAGCGGTCATAGGATATATCTGAAAAGGCTGAGGAAAACCATGAATAGACCTGTCAGTATAGTCTATTTCACGGTCTAGTTTCAACCCCGGGCCTCTGCAGAAATGAAACACCAATTCTAACCATTCGACTGAGATGTTAGGTATGAATAACTTGCTCCCGAGTGTTTCATAACGAATGCATAATACTTAAGGCGGGCCGCACACAGTGGGTCATAAGTAGGGACCGGATTTTAATGCAAATGCATACTCCTTTCTTGCAACCAGAAAGTATGCTCTTCTGGATATATGTATGAATTACTTCATTTCTTAAATTTTGGACATGGTTTGATGGTGCATATAAACGCATATTTTGCCTGTTTTATGAATAAGCATCATATTTTCGAAGATCTCTGTTTATACTGCATATTTCAGTTTTAAAATATTTATCATATATATTTTAATTTTATGTCCAAATTTTCAATCATGGTCGTGTGTATACAATTTTTCTTTTCCGCATTACAATATGTTGCATATTTGACTAAACATTTCGTCATGATTCACGTTTCTGAAGCAGTACCCAGGACGGGACTTCCCCGGTCCCTCTACTCGCAACTTGCCTCATCCGCGTACCATCAAAGTGGCCGCGAAGTGATTAGTCAGAAGCGTTCACATGTAGCCGCTATCAACGTGATACTATTCAACGGATAAGAGACTTCACTTATTTATTTCCGAAGGCTCCACGAATTTCGTTACGCTTCTTCATTTGAAGCTGGGGGCCATTCACATTAGTGGTGACTAGTCTGTAGTTAAGTTTGTTTAGCCTTCTGTTGTCATGCCGAGAGTGAAAGTAAGTCAGAAAACTAAATTACAGATGTATCAGCGGGAGTTCGAAGGAGAGATGATAAGTACGGATAACGAAATTCTTTATGCCGAGCGTGTGAGAAAACAGTTGGTTGTGAAAAACGCTTTCAAGTGCTACAGCATTTGAACACTAATATACATAAAGAGAATATTAAAATTAAATCCACGAAAAGTGCTCCTGTTCAAAAATTGCTTAGTGAATTTTCTAATAATAGTTTCTCACAGTTTTCCTCTGATTTATGCGAAGCATTTTTAGCGGCAGATATTTCGCTGTGGAAACTAACCTATCCTACTCTGAGAAACTTCATAGAGAAGTATACACAGTGCAAAGTGCCGGATGAATCTACTGTGCGCAAAAATTACGTGAAGCAGTGTTACGATCTTACAATTGAAGGCACTAGAGATTAGATTCAAGATAATTTTGTGTGGGTATCAATCGACGAAACACAAGATTGTGAGGGACGGTTTATTGCAAATTGTATAGTTGGATCCCTNAGAATGAACAAGCTACCCCATATGTTCTTGCGGTAGAGCAATTTGAAACCACAAATGGCTCCGCAGTTTCCGAATTTTTTTATCAATTCCATGAATTTACTATGGTCAAATGGCATTCAGTATGAGCGCGTATTGTTCTTTGTGACTGATGCCGCAAGTTATATGATGAAAGCCGCTACTGCTCTTAAAGTTATATTTCCAAATATGACACATTTGACTTGCTATGACCATGGGTTGCACCGTGTTGCAGAAACAATTCGTGCAAATTTTCCGCTTGTTGACAAGTTTGTGTCTTCTGTGAAGAAGGTATTTTTTAAAGCGCCATACAGAAAAGAAGCCTTTAAAGCAGTA